ATTTGGGCAACAGCCTCGAACCCGTGAATCACTTCAAGACTTCAAGACTTCAAGACTGACCTTGAAGTTTGTATAAATTGCATCATGCGTTTTCTTGTGGCGTTTAAGTCTGCTCCGAACTTTTCGTTGAGTCAAGTGTTTGCAGGTCCTCTTAGAAGTGAGAAAAATTGTCTGATTCACACGTACCAAATTTAGCAATGAGCTCTGGACGTATTAAAGTCGAAAACCCTGTTGTGGACTTGGATGGTGACGAAATGACGCGTATCATTTGGGATAAAATCAAGAAAACAGTAGGCATCATTAATGAAACAATTTTTATGAAATCTAAAAGCTCATATTTCCATTCGTGGATGTAGAGTGCAAGTATTTCGACCTTGGTTTACCTAATCGTGATCTAACCAATGATCAAGTTACAATCGATGCGGCGCATGCCATCAAGAAATATGGTGTCGGAATTAAGTGTGCCACGATCACTCCTGATGAGCAAAGAGTTGAAGGTAATTTTATTTTGATCCCCACTGCTGATTGTCCAGAATTTGGTCTGAAGAAGATGTGGCTCTCTCCTAATGGCACTATCAGAAACATTCTCGGGGGTACTGTTTTTCGTGAGCCAATATTATGCAAGAACATTCCACGATTAGTTTCTGGTTGGACAAAACCAATTATAATTGGTCGACACGCTCACGGAGATCAGGTAGGTTTTTATTCTTGCCATAATTTTTATCGTACTTGGTACACAAATGCCACCTAATGAATACGTTCAAAAGAACATCCGAACTGTTCACCCACAAAATCTTCACTGTCTTGTGTCCACAAATGACGCTCAAATCGAAATTTGTTCGGTTTTTCAGCTCCACTGATTTATCCTATGTTCATTGCCTCCGACGGTCTTGAAGCTCAAACCTGCAAATAACATTTGCCGCGGAGTGCATTTCTCGCCTAATCTGATCCCACTACTCATCTTAACCATCACGTTGAAGCGCACATAGCTTGCACACTAGCTCTGACTCATAACGTGCACGATTTGCTGTTGTAGACCGGCGATAATAAGCTCCGAGTTTGCCAATTTTGTCGCTGACCAGTCAGTCGGAGATTGAACTGCATAAAATCTAATACGCGATCAGGTTGCTGTCCATCGAGAGCTGTTTCCCAAGTTGTCACTGGGTAGAAATAGTTGTTAATCTGCTCCTAACAGAAGAAGGCAATCGCCGCTATCTGTTCACTAGCAGGGCAGAGCACAACAAGCTTCTGGTGGACTCAGTTTTCCAGTCTGCGTGTTAAAATCACCTACATGTACAATAATGTCGAAGCTTCGACTCAACCGAATAAGTTCGGCGAGTTCGTCGTATAGATCGTCCGTTTGTGTATCAGAACTGCAGTTGATCGGTGCATATGCCGATATGACGATTATATATTACATTTCACACTTGTCTGAGGACAGACTGTGTGCCAGGCAAATCATGGTGCAGTAATCTTAGTAAAAAAGAAAACGTTCCATGATTGACTTGTGGGCTGAATACTTCCAGGTTGCTTAGGCCAAGCAATTGGATTCACAACCGAATCCTTCGGATAACCAAAGCCTGACCCGCAACGTAGCGGGGCGCTGTGTGAAAACCTCAGTCCATTGGGAGTCGGTGTCCAGTTCATCGGATCACGCCCTTTGGACGGTGTCAAACGTACAAGATGCCCAATACACCTGGATGCCCAATCGAGTCGGTAACCACTGCCACAGCCGAAAAGGTGTGGGTGTTTCGTACGCCTCCTCATGGTTGGTTTGGAATCACTAGGTGAATTAACAATAGTCCACCAACCCGTTTATAGCCCCGGATGTCGGCTCCTTGTCCTCTCAATTTGGTGGGAAAACACCGCCACGAGTAGGACTTCCTCAGAAAAAGCTATTAGAGACTCTTGGTCGTATGGGAGGATTTCGCGAGGTGCAAGGGTAGGGAGACCATCCGCAGCCCTAGACACCACCCCGACCATACTGAGGCTTTTGGAGGCCGATATGACGAACAGACACCCTTTGGCGTTGCTTCCCTTCCCGACGCTGCTTGAACCCTGGAGACGCAGAGCAATTAAACGGCTGTTGACGGGGATCCAATCAATAAGAGAGGCTTCGACCGTATTCCTGAGTACAATACCTAACTCTCGTTGATCTACTGAACGGGCCTCGTCGTCGCTTGATGTGCTAAGAACGTACTTCGTGGACAAATCTGGCGCGCTTAGGTTTGTAGCAGTTTGAGCCTGAATTTGAGTCTCCGATACGCAGCAAATACCGATCTCTAAGGATTCCATTGTCCTCGCCAGTTGTATTGTATTGTATTGTAATAACTTCTACAAGCATGAAGCTCACGTTTCAGTTAAAAATATACAGTTTGTAGCAAGGGAGAAAATAAAAATAACAATGGAAAATGAGAATATGTGAAAACCTGTTCTTTGTTAACAAAAATACGTGCTAATGAGAGAACTGAGGAGTTACGATAAATGTTTATTCCATGGGGAACACAATGATATTCTGATCTAGTTGAGGGATGAGAACAACAGGAAGTTAGGTCAGCGTGTAGCGGATGTGTGGAGTCGATGAGGATCCTTTGCGCAAACCTTTTCACATGCCTTCGAATGACGTTCTCATAGATTAGTTATCAACTCCTTCAGCGGGACTGAAGAGACACGGCAAATGATGGTTAATCCACGTCGAAGCAAATTAAAATGTTTCTTAAGGAGGTTGGGAAAAATAACAGGTGAACAATAAAGGTAAACAGGGAAAACACACTGACACACAAAGTTAAGCTTGTTAGCATCAGACTCCTCTGTTTGAAGGTCCCCAGATTGAGAGGTTCACGAGGCTTCATTATCTGCAGTCTATTTCGTGGTCAATTACTTACAGTGCTATTTGGCAACGACCTTTGGCGATCGATATCCATGTTTCCCGAGGGGCTGTTACTGTTCGAAAGAAGGGGTAAAGAGAGAGGCTTGGGTATATAAAAGTTTAACAAAGNAAGCCAATATCCGGGTCGATGAACCACCGACAGTTGACTCTGGGGAGTAAGCTAAAACCCCTAATTCCTAAGAGGTGTGCAAACCACACTCACCCACACCTTGGTTGTGGCAGTGGTCACCGGTTTGATTGGCCATCGAGGTATTTTGGGTACCGTGGACGTTTGACCCCGTCTAAAGGGCGTATTATCCGATAAATTGGACTCCGGCCCCCAGCGGTTTGCGGTTTTCACACACCGCCCAGATGTCCTGTGGGTCAGGCTTTGGCTAACCGAAAGATCAGGTTGTGGATTCCTCAAGAAAATTCACCTGCCTTGACCTGGGCAATCTGGTAGTATTCGGCGAATCGTGGAACGTTTTTTTTAATGAAGATTATCGTACTATGGTTTGTTTGACACAGTCTGGATTCAGAACACGCCACCGTCCCTCCCACCCCGCTCGATGCAATGTGCAGCGCTGTCTTGATTGTTCTGCTCGTCGACAGATGCAGTAGGAAATTATTTTTAGTTTGTTTATGAATTGAAGTTTTATGGACGGATACTGCTAGGTGTCCAGTAAAAAAGCAGAAGAGCGATTAGGGTTCTCAACCAAAGCCTTTAGTTCTGACAAGAACCTAACCGCAAGGCCGCGGGCTGGGAAACGCTGTCATTTGGAGTGCGCGAAGGACATCGTTTGTCTATTCCAATGTATGGAGAATGCGCAAAGCGCTCTTGACAAACTTTTAAGTTCTTTAACTCCATTTAGTATGCACTGTGCATCTTCAAATGCAAAGTGATGTTACGAGATTGGGTGTCGTCTCCCTCGGCCTTGATGCTTGATAGTCAATAATTAGCTGCGGTGGAACGTTTATCCTACCTAGGTAGTTGCGTGACAAATGACGGTATCATAGTCAAGGAGGTAACCGCTCTCATTTCCAAGGCACGAGCAGCGTCAGTAAGACTGAAGCATTTTTGATATTTCCCTGAAACTGAAAGGTCGTGTATACTGCACCTGCATGCGGTCAGTTCTGCTTTATGGTTGTGAAACCCTAAAATTGCGAGTGAAAGGTATTTGTCTTTTAGAATTCTCTGACTGCCGACGGTTACGTAGTCTGGCGTGGGTTGGATTGAGCGAGCCTGTAAGCAACTCATGAATTTGTGATGCTCAGTTGTACTTGCCGTACCACACTTTTAAGTTAGAAACTAAGGGATAGACAACTTAATTTGCATTTCGGTTTAGTACACCTTTTGGGTTTTATCTTTTGCTGTTTTCTATTACATCTATATTTTGATTTTTTGAGTCTCATTGGTGGTGTTATTAGATTGATTTTTTTTTCTGAACCATTTTTAAGCACACTCATTGTTTTCCATCTAAAACAAAAGTCACGTTCGTCTATCTTGGTTTTATTTTTTCATGCAGTACAAAGCAACAGATTTAGTCATCAACGAACCTGGAACACTAGAGTTAGTTTTCACTCCAAAGGGGTCAACGGAATCGCAACGCTACAAGGTTTATCAGTTTGGTGCCGAAGGTGTTGGATTGGCAATGTATAATACAGACGAAGTGAGTCTTTTTGAGCTTCTTTAACTGTAGACACTGTTGTAACATTGATGTGTACAGGCAGTTTAAATCTCATCAATATTTACTTTTCTCTACTGTAGATAGAAATAAAATAACCTACTCAACGTAATCCCCCAATGAATGAAAGACACGATGGTAAAAAGGTTTGAAGTCATTTAACGAAGAGGTATCAACCCCCAAATTAGTAGTACTATTTTATTGTTCTGGTCTTCATCGTTTTTTTCGTTCCGGTTATATTTCACTTCTTGTAATTATGTCGAAAGTCTAGCGTTTATATGCAAGGTAAATCCCAGCATATCTGAGGTTAGTAATTTGACCTGATTGCCATGCAAAAATCATCGTTCTTGTCTGTAGAACTGGTGGAACTTAACATGTGCATGGTAGTGGTCAGTTAGTCTCATCCGGTGTAACTGAAGTGTTCAGGCTTATAACCCGGTTACTGTAAACTATGATTAAAAAAGCTTCCGTGTCCTTTAATTCGATACCACACCTATCCAATTGGAGCATCATCATCGTATCATCATCGTACTAGGAGATACAGATACAATTAAAGCATGAAGTTCACCAGTTATGTGTTAGCAGCTTTGCTGTCGTCCGGTTTAACACCACGCTTAACCTGACTGGACCTTATATGGTTCGCCACTTCAAGTCCCGGGGCTTAGGCTGCCGGTTTCCTTCACTGAACGGCAGACCTACGCGACTATGGAGTCTATTGCATCTACTGTTCATCACAAATGTGTAATAAAAAGGTCCAGGGCTTAGTTCTTTGGTTTCTGTAAACAAACAGTGGGTTATTGTTACCATTAGGTTCGCTTCCAAAATCAATCGTAATGCGATACGCAAGAAAAATAACATATAAGATGGCATTGTGACGAGTATCGGAAACGTTACTTACTTTTTGCTTTACTGTGGCTCACTTCTTGGAAAGGATAAGCCGGCTCCAGACATGATCGTAATCATAATCATGAAGTTCATTGGGATTTTGGTCCGAGAGATGTCTCTAGCGTCACTCGATGTTTTTTATTTTGGGGGCGCACCTTTGCACAACGAAGTAAGAACTGCAAGGCAGCAGGAAGTAATCCCTCTCCTCGGAAGTGAGGGGATTGATGGTTTTAGTTTTAAAAGGCTAGTCACATCGACTTTTGTCACAGCACCGTTATTGGGCTTATACGGCTTTTAAACGAGCCAGGTGACCAGCCTGAAACTCACCACACCCTGGTAGTGCCGCCGCTGTTTGTTCGCTACTGCTTATTTGTTGCGGTACGCCACAACTTATTCACAGCCAACCTTCTTCGGTGTATTCTTCGGTATTCCCCTATCCATAACCCGGGGACGCGCCTGGTAGCATTCAGCTCCGCTTGACCCGAGGATATCCAGGAAACGTTAGATTACGAGCTTCATCAGCGTGATACTCCGACACGTGATAAATTTAGAAGCAGGCTGGATACCCACTAGGTCGCGGTGGCATCATTCAGTCTTTACCTACCGTATCGTGCTCACAGGACAACAGTCAGCTTTTCTTGACGAGAGTTGCTTGGCCCATTGACGATAAGGTTTCTTTCTTCGTAAATGTCTAAGAATTGTGGCTACCTATCTTGTAAGAATCTATAACTTAGCATGTTGGTACTCCTGGTGTCCGACTAGGGTGCTTCATTTCGCTATTTTGTCATAAACGCAATTTTAGTCCGCCCCCCCTCGAGTTGAACTGAAAACTTTGTGATTTAATTTATACCGACGGCTTCGTTTGTATCTTTATTTGAATATATGTGGAATGCACAATTGTATCTAAGAGGCTAGCGAACTCGTTTCTGATAGATTCCGGCTACTCATGTCTTATATTTAGGTAGTCAAAATTAATGTAGCTGATTGATTCTCCTACCTAGACAGGCATTTGAGTTATATTGGTAGCACAATAAACGAAGTTTACAAACGCATAGCCAAAGCTCGACCTACATACACTGCACTGACATTGTTGGCATCGGCATCAAGTCTTATTGCGATAAAAGAATGCTGAGTGCTGGAGTGCGACTTGATTTGGTTGATAATTTTTATTGCACTATTATGTACTGAACATCAGACAGGATCAATCCTAGTCAAGAGGACCTACTGCTCATTAGTGGGAACCGGCAACCTAAGCTCCGGGATTTGGAGTGGTCAACCACTTAAGGCCCAAAAAGCATGGTATTGAGCAGGGTGACACTGAAATTGACTACCACCAAAATTGGGTGGCGATGAAGGGGTTTGAACCTTAGACCTCAAAGCCTAAAGCACGCCAGTGCCGGCGACTAAAGCCCCTGGATCCTCACCACCACCTGTAAGACCTTAAGTTTGTGTTTGAAAGGCAGTCATCGATTTGAGTTTTTCTACCATTGACAATAACGTGGTTTGGTGTAGGTAGGCTAAGTCAAGCGGGTTAGTAATACCGAGGTTAGTCGTTGTGCGTTGCTGATTGTATTAGTGAAAAGGTTCTCCTCACAGATTGGCATGCAGCAATAAAACAAAAAAGGTGAACAACCTTTGTTTTTGTTGAACCATATTCAAAATATTACGTGATTCCTTACGTTACAATACTGTGCAGGATATTGATTAATTGCTGACTGCAAAAATCAAGCTTTCTTCATGGCCGGATTCTGCCCATACTTTGATACGATTACAAGGAAAAAGGGGTGGCGTGATTAGTGCGATGCTGTTAGATGCAAGAATGATTACAAACCAGAAATCCACTTTCTTTCGGTCTGTAATCTAGCATTTTTTATGCAGAATTGTGCTATGCTGGCTGGTGGGCGAATTATTGAAAACGAGTTTGTTCGATTTTTGATGTTTTCTTATAATTCACGTTAGTGAACTCCGATTGTTATTACGCGTGCTACTCTTATCCAGCAGGAATCTGTGTATCTTACTGGACCCTGTTTTGGGTCACTGCTCCATGATAAAGAAAGCCGCATGATGATTAATAACTCAAGTGGGGTTGATGGAGGACACTGGGTGGTGGTGGCGCAGTGGTGTAGTCGCTGTCAACGCGTGCTTTGGACCCTAGGGTTCGAGGCTCGAGCCCCGCCACCCAACTTTGGTGTTAGGTAGCCTTGCTGCCATCCGGTTCAATACCGCACCTATTCTAGTGGGGCCTTATTTGGTTCACCACCCCAAGTCCCGGGGCTTAGGTAAACGGGTTCCACGACGGAGAAGCAGGTCTCCGTGACTATGGGGTTCGTCCCATCACACGAGTGTGTAATCAAAAATGTAAGCCATCTTCTAGGTCGGGTTCTGAATGGTTAATCGGAGATGCTGAACTACATGACGACCCACTGACATTTGTTGACGTTTCTCAGCGGCCCAGTCTGTTTGAAGCATTTTGAAAGTTTTAACCGCTTACTGTTTGCTGGCCCGATGAGTTAGCTTCGTTTCCTCTAATTCGCCCCCCATCTTGTCCCTTCCTTCCTTCATTTTATGAGCCTGACATAGACCAGTGAATTTCGCTTTATTGTGTTTCTATGTGCAATGTTCATAACGGGAAAATCATAATGAACATTTTTTGAATGTATTCGGTTTCTTTCGGTGTGTATAGACTGACTGGTAGGAGTGGCATCTCTCACAGACTCACAGACTCCCTGACGTATCTTTCGGTTCTTTGATTTCCACAAGGCAGTTCAAAATAGTTCGAATGGAATGTGGGCCAATTTCATGTGACGAACGGTATAGTGAAACGCCTTTTTGTGTAACATGCACTAACAAGTAGTTTTCTCATTGGTGTCGCTGGATCTGTTAGACCGAATACGTCTATGCGATGGAGGTTCTATCTGCGTCAGGATACGCTGGAAACTAACAGTGCGAAAGGATTAGGCCACTGAAAGTATCTGTGATGCAAATGGTACAGAGCTGCATGTTATCTTTCACTTCCCCAGGTCACGGATAGCTAATTTGGTGGCTAACCGTGAATTAGGCGAGCACAGGCTCCTAGAATAGACGACCGCTGATGAGCAACGACTCTTTCCGAGGCATTAGTATGTTTTCTGTGTGCCCCGGTAGAAAACACTAATAATCTGGCAAAGTCACTGTAACAAGATGAATGTGACCCTTCTCTAATAAGTTCATCCCATGTTACTCATGCGATGGTTAGGGTTTTCATACCCTCATGGCAGGTCTGACTTCGACCACTCCTAACATTTTCCACCAAACACCTGACTCGGCAAACGTCGCGCACCTTGACAATTTATTTGATGACATGCGCAGCAAATGCCCCAACCAACGTAGTCTATGGAGGTTCACAACTTGCTCCATTGCGTGACCGCGGTTGCCTAAAACTCCGCACCTAACCTTGCACTGCCTGTCTGGTTACTCCGCCAAACTTATGCAGTGCTGCGTAGACAGCGGTATAAAGTTATATCTATCTATCTAATATAGTAATAATATATAATAAGCATGGTATTATTATTATTATATTTCACACTTGTCTGAAGACACGCTGTGTGCCAAGCAAATCTTGGTACAGTAATCTTTATAAAAAAGAAAAACGTTCCGTGATTGACATGGTGCCAACGCAACAACAGTAATAATCAAAAATAGTGGGATTGGGGTGCAGAACAGAAGGGCATAGAAAGAAAATGTAAACCTTGACCAGTGGGCATAACACGTCCAAGCTCAATTGAACATTCACTCCCTAGCCTAGTTGCCCGAATAGCTTTATCACACGGCTTTATTGAAAACATTCATTTTCGAAATGAGTTCCTCGGAGATAGATTATCTCAAAGACTTCGAACAGAACCAGACCGTGATTTTTCCCATTCAAAATTAATGCAACTCCAAATGATTTGAGAAGATCACTGTCCGATACAATGATGGTCTTGTTTCTGAATGAATGACCAGAGAAGATGGTGTTTCTTCGAAATGCAGCGCTATACCTTCCGAAGTAATATTGGAAACGACAATTGATTGCTTTCTTTATAAATTGTTTCTCGAAGCGCCATATAGTCGTTTATCCCGTTTGTTCGTTATCAATTTCATTCGAAACGGAGCGCAGCCTAATCTTTTGCTTCTCCATTTTTTTCCCAGAGCATTCGTGGATTTGCTTATAGTTGCTTTGAGTATGCCTTGAACAAAAAGTGGCCTCTGTATATGAGCACCAAGAATACTATCCTCAAGCAATATGATGGTCGATTCAAGGATATTTTCCAGGAGATTTACGACAAGTACGTCCTACAATAAGTTGATAACGTGTATTATCTAATGACTACCAAGATTTATACAATTGTTTCGTCATTTTCCGTGCCGCCTTGTTTTCTAACTAGAGCGCTCGTTCACTGACGAAAACATTCGTAGAACAGTTTTTGCCCGTCATCCTTCGTCTAATTGAAAAACCAGTGCTGATTTTTTGATCAGGTGCAAATGTCATTAGTTACAGTTGTAGTTGGGTCGGAATACTGTTTGAAAACAGCCAAACAGAGATGTGCATTAAAAGTCTTCCAAAACACTGGATCTGATGCTGGATATGTGACGCAGATTTTTCTTGTTTGCTTGCCAAAAAAATACTCCACTATAATTGAAAAATTAACTTTCGGGTCTATATATGCTCCATGTTTTTCGACCCATCTGTCAAAACTTGTTTTTCGTTGAGTCTTCTCGATGGAGTGAACTAAAAACTAATTTCAATTTTCACACCCGATTTTTGGATGAAACATGATCAGCTACCGTTACCTACCGATCATTTTTCGACTCCAGCTCCTTCAGGATTACTGATTGTTGGAAATTCCACCGTCTTGATCAGGTTTTTGGTTCTCATACATAAAGTTTTCAAAATAACTGCTATGTGAATGACTGGACAAAATTCCCCAGAACCAAATGATCGTCTTCGTGGTTTTCCCGCTCACCAGCTATGCGTATCTGACGCTCCTTTGTTAAGTCACTTCCACGCTTCTACTTCCGATGTGAGTTGAGGTACACAAACTTCCTTTGCAACTAATGCGGTTAATCGGACATAGCTTCGTGGGGCTGCAGGTAAGAGTTGGATACACGATGGAGACCAAAGAGGAGGCTGCTTACCAAGGGAATCTGACATTCTTTCCACTCAAAGGTGCTAATCCTTTTAAATACCCCACAAACAAAGATTCAGTTAACCGTTTAGCTCACTTCGTTTTCTATTCTTCTCCAAGAAAAACCATAGAAGTGTGTTAGCTTGATAAGTCTGCTGTACTCATATTTTCAATCGAGTAAGAGTATGGCAAATTAGGTCTTTTGTCGCCAGCAGAGTAGTGTTCGTCCAGAATGCTCTACTTCATCATTCCTGTTCAATTATAGGGTATTTGGCAGCTAAATTTGTACTAGATGGTGTAATTTCTTGACTTGACAGTGCAGCATGCAGGGCAATAGGGTTATTCTAGATGATCTTTTGGTTCGTTCGCGTCCGGGATACCCTGCTGGGTAGGTACAATGCGATAAGGATAGTAACCTTATTTAAGAGTAGGCCGCGATCTTCAGATGATAGTTCGGTTTATAGTCCGGTATGATCTTCTAAAGTAGGAAGTTCCAGCCAAGAAAATATTCCGCTAGATGGACATGGAACCGAGGTCACTTGGGCTTCCTTCTGATAGCTCAGTTCAGTTTTTACACCTATTAACTATGCGCTTTTGTGCGCCGGTTTGGGTTGCTATCTCATGACTATCCATTCGGTCAATGAGCAGAAGGAAAGTCGGAATGTTGAGAGCAGAATCAGAGAGGACAATGATTTGATGCACGAGTGTCCCTGGTTGCGATACTGAGTCATGTCACTCAGAGTCTGTATCTCCCGGTTACGACGATCCCGGGGTACCCATCCAGGAAACCTGACGCGGCCTATGTGAGTACGTCTCCTGGTTGAAGTTTTCATACCCACATGCCTAGTCTTAGTTTTACCCCCCTTGACTTTACCCGCTTTAGCAAACGCCGCGTGACTGGTCAATCTCTATGATGGTATGTGTAGCATTTAGCCCATCAAACGTGATCTGTAGAAATCAATCATTTGTCTTACTAAGCGACCGCGACTGTCTAAAACTCTGCGCCTAACCCCAGCATTGCTTGTCCGGTTACCCCAACAGATTTGTGCAATGCTACGTAGACAGCGGTGTTCAAGCCTCGACAGTCTATCTTCATCATTTTCCCTTAACGGCCAAATCCGTCCAGATCGTGCTAGAAGTCTACACACTTCAGTGGATGACTGACGCCCACCCGAGCTGGATGGCCCATAGCCATTACGGAGCTATCTTTCCGGCTACCTCATGTTTGGTATGCGTTTTGCAAAGTGTAAAATGCTACTACAAGACTGGGTTGATCCAGCACCCAGCCTCACTCTAACTGGAGAAGTAATAGAGCAAGTGGATAAGTTTTGTAATCTGAGCAGCTGCGTTTCACCCGGTGGACGCATCACGGATGAAGTGTCAGCTCGCATACTAAAGGCTCGGTTGGCATTTGCCAACTTGAGACATCTGTGGGGCAGTCGCGACATCCGGCTGTGTTAAGGGTCGAGTGTATGCTGCTCTATGGAGCAGAAACTTGGTCAGTGAGAAAACAGGATAAAGATAAACTGTCGGTGTTTGAACACCGCTGTCTACACAGCATTGCACGAATCTGGTGGGGCAATCAGACGAGCAACGCTGAGGTCAGGCGCAAAGTTTTAGGCAACCTCGATCGTCCACTGGAGCAAGTGGTGGGCCTCCATAGATTACGTAGTATGAGGCATGTGTTACGCATGTCACCAAATGGGTTACCACGACGAGTGATGTTTGCCGCGACAGGTAGTGGGTGGAATAAAGCCCAGGTTGGTCAAGCTAAGACCTGACATGAGGGTATGAAAACCCTAACCAGGAATCTGGGTCACATAGGTCCCGTTAGGCTCCCTGGCTGGGGACCTCGGGATGGTCGTAACCGATGGTTAGAGACGCTGAATGATATGATTGGTGTCGTAAACAGTGGCGTTCGTGCATCTCACTTTCTCTGCTTCATTAGTCCACTGAACTTTTCAATTTTCTCTTCA